CATCTCCATATGAAGGTCATGATGAAGCCATAACCCAACATTTCAAAGTCAACCTCATAATCTTCTCTTTAAAAAGCCTATACTTTGATTTCCCTATTTCTGTTTAGTCTTTTCCCATAAATGGACAATTATGTCTTTTTTTTAAAAGAATTATTTATTTAATTTTATTATTATTATTATCAGTTTGCTATAGGGCATGTGCACTCACCAGAGATAGACAGAGAGGCTGAAAGTGAGAAAGCAAAGCTGCTGGGTCCAGGACTCAAACAGCAATTGGCCATGTTGGAGTCCAGTGCCCCAACCACCATGTCACGTGCTGGCCCCGACAATTACTTGTAATGGTTCAAAATAAACTAAGTCTTGGGCCACCAGGTGGCTCATAGGTTAAAGTGGTTGGATCCCACATGGCCAACACTATGGTTTAAGTCCTGGACACAGTGACCTGAAAATCACGCTGGGTAAGTGTGTGCGCGCCAAAGATCCTTAGAGGAGAATGGAGGAGGAGGGATTGTGGCATGGCCATCTTCTCTGTAGGATGATTTCTTACTCCCCCCCCCCCCCTCTGTTTCTGGCAAGTGCTCATGTCCTATAGCAAACTGAAAAAACCCAACAACAAAACAAAATACACGAAGTCTCTAGGCTGGTGAGGAGTTAGGTGGAAAGCAAATCAGGAAAAATATTAGAGTAATAGCAGTCTGACTAAATTAACAGAAAAGAAAACTAGGAGAGGAACAGGAAATCAACAGTAAGTGTTTTGTTCAAAATGGAGTCAGATGAGCAGGACTCTTCATTTTCCCAGTGTTAGTATTTCTTAGCCTTTTATAAAGGTCCTCTGGCCAGCAAATACAAAGCCTAGGCCCTAACCACAGTAATTCATGGTTTAAAACTGCTCTGTGGGGTCAACCTTGTAGCTTTGTGATGGGAGCCGGGGGCGGAATTCTACATGGCTGATCCTAGTTTGAGTCCTGGCCCCAGCAACTTGCAAAACATACTGGGTGTGTTTTCATGTGTACCCCAAATCCTGACAGGATGGTGAAATGGAGGAGAAGGGATTACAGCATGACCATGCCCCTCTGGGAGATGCTTTCTCCCTCTCTCTCTCTGTGTCTCTCTCTGGTGAGTGCACATATCCACTGGCAATTAAAAAATTTTTTTCTGTGCTGTATGATAACAGTATCCCTTTAGACCACCAATTCCTCATTCTCAGTTTTTAAACTTTCATATAATTTTTTTCTCTCTTACTATGAATTATTTTAAATATTTGGGAAACATAGATGAGGTAATGGATATTTTATTATCTTTAAACACTTTCCTACTTGTCATGTTTGCTTTAACTACATAAACATTTTTACCTTGAAATAATTTCAGACTTTAAAAAAGTTGTCTAAGTAATATAGAGGCCAGCTGTGGTGGTACATGTTGCTAAGTCATGGCTTTTGAGAGGCTGAGGCCACTTGAGAAGTCTGAGTTTGGTTCCAGGCCCACCCTAAAACAGACTAGTCATGGTGGTGTGTGCATCTCTAGTTCTAGCTCTCTGAGAGGCTGGAGCAGGAGGATCCCAGCATGGTGAGCCCCTATCAAAAATCAATCTCTTGGGATTAGCAGTTAGCATAATGGCTATGTCGCTGAACTCCCATGTAGTTGACTGAGGTTCAAGTCCTGGACCTGGTGGCTTAAACTCACGCCGGGCGTGTGTGCATTCGTGCCCAAGATCCCGAAAGGGGAATGGAGGAGAAGGGATTGCGGCATGACCATCCCCCCTGGGGGGTAATTTCTTGCTTTCTGTCTCTCTCTGTATTTCTGGTGAGCGCACGCACCCTGTAACAAAAACCTCTCCAAAAAAAAAAAAAAAAAGGAAAGAAAAAAGAAAAAAAAAAATCTTATCTCTCCAGGGACCAGCAAGTGGCATGGTGGTTTAGGAACTGGCACATGGCCAGGCCAACCATGGTTTGAATTCCATGCCCGGTGGCTTGAAAATTACACTGGGCATGTGTGTGTACATGCCCCAAATCCTAGGAGGAAATGGAGGAGAAGGGATTGCAGTATGGCCATTACTCCTGGGAGTGACTTCTCACTTTCCTTTTCACTGTCTCTGGTGAGTGCACGTATCCTACAGCAAAACTTGAACAAAAATAAATAAATAAAATAAACTCCTGTGTGTTTTCTATATGTTCCATCTCTTATTTATTTTTTCTTTATTCATAATAGATCACATGCTCATGCATGAGCGAGAGAGGGAGAAAGCGAGAGAGAAGCCCCTTCCATAGTGTCTGGTTCACACTGTGATCCCCTTCTTCCAGTACTCTAGACCTTGGGCAATCACACACATGCCTGGCATGTTTCAGGTTGATCAGTTTGGGGATTCAAATCTTGATCACCATGTAAGATTTGGCTTCTCTTGAATAGCACATTACCATTGATCCAAGGGCTAGCACTACATGCCCGCCCTTCTTTCCTGCCTGCCTGCCTTTTTGCCTTCCTCCCTCCCTCCCTCCCTCCCTCCCTCCCTTCCTTCTTTCCTTCCTTCCTTCCTTCTTCTCTCTCTTTCTTTCTTCTTTCTTTTGAAATTTCTCATAGGGTAAGTGTGCTCGCTAGAGAGAGACAGAGGAGAGAGAGAGAGAGAGAGAGAAAGTGAGAAAACACCCCCTTGGGGGATGACCATATCACAGTCCCTTCTCCTTTACTCTCCTCTTGGAATTTGGAGCATGCATGCACATGTACCCAGTGTGTTTTCTTTCTTTCTTTTTTTTTTTCCTCCAGTGTGTTTTCAAACTGCCAGTTCTAATAATTCTAATTGCGTAGTTGGCTATGTGGGATCCCCATAAGCGCTTATTTTTGAGCACTTCATTGCTCCCTGGGCCCACGAAAATCCCAGGCTCATTTTATACTTTCCGTACTTCACCCCTAATTTTTTTGGTGGGGAGTCATCATAGGACATGTGAGTTTGCCAGAGAGAAACAGAGACAGAGAGAGAGAGAGAAAGTGAGAAGTCACCCTCAGGGGTGATTGTGGCCACGCTACAATCCCCTTTCCTGTATTTCCTCTCAAGATTTTGGTCACACACACTCATGTACCTGATGTGATTTTCAAGCTGCTGTTTCTGGGACTTAAACCATAGTTGGCCATGTGGAAGTTTGGCTCCTTAACCATTATGCTACCTGTTGGCCCCCTTAAATTAAATAAAATAAACAAAACCGAAATCTCTTGTGCCCTGTGAATACTTTCTTATTCAAATATCCTTGTTTCCCTCAGCGGATGCTTCTACTCTATTGATGTGGAACAAATTAACTCTATATAATTCCCATTCATGACTGTATACGTTGACCACCTGTGTATATATTCATAAACAATACAGTGTTTTTTGGCATATTTTGCAACATTAGAAAAATGAATTAATATTATAGGAACCAGTAGATGGCATAACGGTTACATCACTGGACTCTCATGTAGTCAAGTGCTGTTCAAGTTCCAGACCCGAGGCTTGAAACTCACACCAGGCGTGTGTGTGTGTACCCAAAATCCCGAGAGGAGAGTGGAGGAGAAGGGATTGTGGTGTGGCCATCCCCCCTGGGGGGTGATTTCATGCTTTCTCTCTGTCACTCCAGTAACAACCCACTTCCTATAGCAAAAATCTCTCTTAAAAAAAAAAAAAAAGAAGTAATATTATAAATACATGTAATGAGACATTTACAAGTCCATGTTAGTACACATGGCCCGAAAGTTCATTCTTTTTTTTTTTTTTTTTTGGGGGGTTTTTTTTTTGGGGTGGTTTGTT